CATTGTCATAGTGATGACTTTTTCATGAAGTCAAGTAAATTTATTGAGTTTTCTAGTCGAAATGTTTTTAGATACTCTATTCACTATAAGTTGGGGTATTCCTCGTCAGAGGGGGTTTAGTTGATAGGTATACCAAGAGGTTGACTGACAGTCTAAGGGTATGATTTATGAGGTTTCATAATGATGGGTTTCCATTATGGAGAGGTTTATCGTATGAGTTTTTAGGATTACGGTGTTGGGATTTCTAATTTACATGGCTTTGCAAGGTGGTTGAATGAACCGTTAGTGGTAGTTATTGTAGGATGAGACAATTCAGATTAGTTGGTTTTAAAGGTGACATGGTCTAGGTTCCGAGTGGCCTCGAAAACCCCTATGTTTATTGCAATGGATTACTAGTGATTCGTGAAGCCATTGGAGTTGCATTGGGTTGCCTTTTGTAGTTTTAGGCAAGGCAGATTTCAAGGATGAAATCTAGTTAAGTGTGGGAGAATTGTAATATCCGTTTTTGGGATGTTTCTTTGAATGTAAAGTTAGATTTTAATTTAGTCATGAGAAATTCTTAGGTCGGAAGGGTTGGAGTTTGGTCCTTAAAGGAATGAGGATTTTGGGCCAAGAATATAATGCTTTGGGCTAAAGGTTTAGTTTTAGGCAAAAGGATCATTTAGGGGTTACACTGATTGGAAATTACTAGACTAGGCCCATCACTCTACGAACCTTAGGGATTTACAATATAGATCCTGGGATGTAAGAAGTTGAAATTTAGACAAAGTTGACTTAGTCAAATATGGACCAAAAAGGCAAAATGATCTATTATGAGAAAAATAAAAGAATATGAAGTTCTGACTTCATTAGAATGTCCAAAATAAGTTTAAGTCACTTAAAGGAGATTAGATGAGTAAGTTCAAGAGAAAGAATGTATGATAAGATGCATTTTGATTAAAAGGGTAAAATGGGAATTTTATGCTTTTAGGCCTATTTTGTGACATAACAGATTAAGACCCATATTAATTTAATGAGAAATGACTTAACAACATTGTATTCTATGTTACCATCTTCACGTGGATATAAAGATCATACAAAATGGGCCATAAATGAAGATGTTATGAAGGTTAGAACTTGGGAAAAAAGTTATCCTGAAGCTTGAATAGAATTAACCATGAGGCTACTGATGTACAACCACTTGCTCCTGGCCATATGCTCACCATTCCGTGTTAATGGTTAAAAGCTATTCAACAATTATTCATAAGGTATAGAGAAAAAGAGCAATGTACTTTGTACCACGACACAATGTATGGGCACCATGGTGTGATAAAGCAATGTAGGATGCTATGAGAATAATTGCTACAACATGGAAAGAAATAAGACCGTGGTTCACTTAAGTCACTGGAAAGTGGAAATAACATAAATTTAAAGGCTGTTAAGCCATTATTCCTGCCGAAAACACGCCTAAAATCCTTTGGAGCTAAGCTCCATTGATTTGGAGAAGGAAGAAGAAGAAAGTGGTGATTGAGGATGTTTTTAGCTTGGGTTGGGGATTAAGGACTTCAGCAATGTGAGGTGAGTTACCTTCCAGTAGCGGTGGGTCTACGACCATAATGTCGGCCCACCAGTAGGAGTTGTTAGATGATTGTATTTGTGATAATTGTCTATGTTTGCTACTACCTGTTATGTTTATGTGCTAGCATGATATGATGTTGTGTGATAGTGGTAGTAGGGGTGAAATAGTCCCCACTTACCGGTCGACAGGATCGAAGGGGTAGGCCAGCACCTAGATATGCTAGGCAGTATATGACTTATGTGTTTATGTTATGCTTTTATGTGGTAGTGTTAGGGGGTGAAATAGTCCCCGGTTATCGGTTGAAAGATACTGAAGGGGAGGCCAGTACCCAGATATGCTAGGCAATATCCGATCGAGAGGACCGAAGGGGAGCCCAACATCCAGATATGCTAGGCAGTATCCGGTCGAGAGGACCGAAGGGGAGCCCAACACACAGATATGCTAGGCAGTATCCGATCGAGAGGACCGAAGGGAGCCCAACACCCAGATATGCTAGGCAGTATCCGATCGAGAGGACCGAAGGGGAGGCTAGCACCCAGATATGCTAGGCAGTATCCGGTCGAGAGGACCGAAGGGGTAGGTCGGGCACCCAGATATGCCTGACAGTATATGTATGTTATATGATTGTGTGGTATGTGGTATGATGGGGGAACTCACTAAGCTTCGTGCTTACGGTTTATAGTTTTGGTTTCAGGTACTCGTTTTCAAAGGAAAGGAGTCGGCTTGATCGCAGCGCATCACACTATGGTTTTCCGCACATGGGATCTTTGGGATTACACTCTGATATTGTTTTATGATAACATGTTTGATTATTTCTACTTTGGTTTTGACATGACATAATACTACAGATGTTTTACTACACTGTTGGTTTTAAAACGACGTAATTAAAAATGAAATTTGTGGCCTGTATTTTTGGGATGTTACACCTGGCAACGATGGATTTCGTGCTGATTCCTTAGGATAATCCTTAGGAACAAATGAACGAGGAATAGCTGATTCTTAGGGTAGATCCTTAAGAGTAAAGAAGATAATGGGGATGGATAATTGAGTTGATTAATTGTTTGAAGATTAAAACATAATAATTATATTATTGTGGGTTGAAAACCCTATGTACTTACCAGGTTTCCCAACCTGACCCACTTAGTTTATTTATACCACAAATGTTGATATAAAGTCACATTACGCTGAGAGATTAAGGAAATATAAGTCACTAGTGATAATGAATGTAAGTTCTGTTTATGCTTATGTTTCTGTATTGATGATAACATCCCAAATGTTTTAAATGAATAAAAATACTTTTCTTCGGAAATGATTTAACAATGTATTTATCATGTTTTACTGTGAACAAATTCCACAATATTTTTATTAAAAGAGGTACTCTGATTTTTATAAAGCATAAACAAAATCGGTATTTTCTGACCGTGAAAATGGGGATGTCACATGTTCATATGCTAGACAACACCTGGTTGAAAGAGACCGAAGGGGTAGGCCAACACCCATATATGCTAGGCTGTATGTTGATATGTATGGTATGTGGTATTTGGGGAATTCACTAAGCTTCGTGCTTACAGTTTTCAGTTTTGATTTCAGGTACTTCGTTTTTTTAAAGGAAAGGAGTCGGCTCGATCGCATCGCATCACACCATGTTTTCCGCACATGAGATCTTTGGGATTACACTCTGATACGGTTTTATGATACTATGTTTTGATTATTGACACTTTGGTTTTAGCATGAGATATTATTATGAATGTTTTTATACTATTGGTTTTATGTAATAATTTAATTAAAATGAAATTTTTGGTCTTGAATTTTGGGATGTTACAGTGGTGGCAACGTTGGTGGTGGTCATGAGTGATGGTAGTGGCGACGTTAGTGGTCGTGGTTGTGGCGGTGACAGTGGTGGTGGGTGATTGTAATGGTGATGGTGGTAGTGTTGCTAGTGGTGGCGATGGTGGTGGTGGTGCAATAGCGGTGGTGGTGGAGACGACATTGGTAATGGTGGCAGCGACGGTGATGGTGGTGGCGGCGTTGGTAATGGTGGTGGGTGAAAGCGACATTGGTGGCGGCGATATTGGTAGTGGTGGGGGTGGGTGATGGTAGTGGCAGTGGTGACAACGATGGTGTCAATGATAATGGTAGTGGTCGATGGTAGCAATGGCGGCAGTAGTGGTGGTGGTGGTCGGTGGCAACGACTGTGGTGGTAATGGTGGCGGTGGTGGCGATGACAGTGGTGATGGGTGGTAGGTGGTGGTGACAAACGGTTGTGGTAGTGGTGAGGGTGGTGATGGTAATGGCGGCGGCGGTGGCAGTCGATGATGGTAATGGTGGTGATGGTAGTGTTAGTGAGTCTTCTGATAAGTACATGGGGTGTTTTGTAATCCGCCACTTTTGTTGATGAGAAGGAATGTTTTCCATCCAACTTTGGAAGGAATTCACTTTCCTCCATATGGTGTAAAGTTTATTTCATCTAGAGTAAATTACACGATTCGTCCCTAGTCAAAGTGTCAGATTACACGTTTAGTCCCTATATTCAAAAATTAACTTGGACCGTCTCTCATATAATTAAAAGTTGCATGTTTCGTCCATCATAGACAGAAAATGACTATATTGCCCTTTTCTATTTCTTTTTCGGTTTTTAAATATTTATTTACTATTTATAACTTAGAATAACTGAAATATTATGATTTATAGTTTGGTGGGGGCAACCACCTCTGACACTCCCCTATCCCTTCCCTCCCCCCCCCCCCCCCTTCTTCACAAGATACGTTTCCCGACACCACCATCAGCCACCTTTCCGACACCACTCTCATCTTCGGTGGTTAAATCCTAGCCATCAAAAACTATTCCTTCCCTCTTTCTGAACACGCCATACACATAAAAACATACACCAAGCCAAATTTGATTTCCAATAAAACCCACCACCCTTTACCTCCATCATTCTTATATCTCCATCTCTCCCCTGTCCTCATTTTCAGCTCGGGGAACCACCTCAGGCAGCCACCACCCTTTACCTCCAACAACCACCTGTAGTGAGCACCAAACAAAACCAAAATTAAAAAGAAACTCGCAATTAGTTCCACAAAACAAAATCGAAAATGGTTCGAGAAATTGAAATGGAATTCAAAATCCTACAGATGGTGGTCGTTGTCGCTGTAGAGTCTTCGCCGAAATCCAATGCTCATCTTATCCAACAATAACTTTTTAGTTTCAGTTTGAGAATCGAAACCCAGACTTAAGCTACATACAAATGAGATCAAAAAAATAAATTGAACACAATAACTTTAGATTCAAAGAATCAAAGAATATGGGGGGGGGGGGGAGGTGGTTTCCGGCGGAGGTGAATATAGTGAAATGAAATCTCAACTTCGAAATCTGCCCGTGACTTGATTTTTGAAATTCCATCTTCCAAAACCTGATTTTTAAAACACCGAATCCAAACCCAATGTATGGAATCCCAACTTCGAAATATGCTGGTGACCGACTAAGTAAAACAATGAGGGGAAGAAGACCGGTGAGAGAAGAGAGGTAAGAAAGTTGCTTCGAAGTTGGGGTGTACTCCAGATTTACAGGTAGATCTTGGGGTGATGGTTTGGGTTTCAAGTTCACATAGATGGCATGACGGTTGCCCCGACAATAAAGGTTTTCGATGGCGATTTATGTCCTCCGGTGCTCAATCAGTGTCGCCGGTGACGTTGATCGGAGTGTGGCAGTGCTCTTTAGGGTTCATAAATGGGGTTTTGGAATAAGGTGGAACAGATGAAATACACGTACCTGAGTTGAAGGTGGAGCGATGAATGTGGGTCCACATTTTTTTAAATATTTTTATATTAAAAGTAATAAACAAACTAAAAAGAAATCAAAAAAGAAATGTGGAAGGACACTATAGTCATTTTAGGTTAGGTAGGGACAAAACGTGCAAGTTTTAAACATATCAGAGACGATCCGATATAATTTTTGAAAATAATGGTAGTTATGCTGGCTTTAATAGTACAGGGATGTTTTCTGGCATAAGCCTAAAATGTGTGGAACAAAGTGTATCTTTTTTCTACACCAAATTCTTTATTTACATCCAAAAAAAACCCCGTAAGAACTTCAACCACCATCGCGTATCCACTCCCTGCCCTAACCTGTGTTCATTGCTAAATTCCCGAATTGGAAAATCGGAGTTCTGTGCGATATATATGCATTTGACCTAGAGGAAGTATGCGATGTGAAATCAAACGAACCAAGCATCGAAGAACAACCATATATATATGCTTGTGGGAGAGATGAATTTTGGCAACTATACGTTTCAAAACAAAGTGAGCAACCGACTGGTTTAGTAGAACTCCGCGAGGATCGCGCACCCATTTTAGGTACATCAGGTAGGTCAATTAAATATACGCTTAATTGTGCCCTAAGATCCCCGTTTTAGCTGATGTTTGGGACTTTTATGGAAGCAGAAACCCCATTTTTGTTACATTTGCTGTTATAGTATCTGCTTGAAATCCTTGACTGTAAAAATCTATCTTAATATGGCTTTTGTTAAAAGTATAACGTATCTGTTGTTGATATGTGTTGTTTTCTAATTTCGAGTTGGGATATTAAACCTTTCTCGGGGTTGTTTACTGCTGCACTGGAAAAGCTACATCGCCTACATGTAGTAACTGTCTTTTGCTAATATTGAATAGATACGAGTAAATATGGCAGCAACTCCCCAAAATGTTGAGATGGAAGCAGCAAAGTTCCTGCATAAGCTTATTCAGGAATCCACCGACGAGCCCACAAAATTGGCTACAAAACTACATGTGGTATGTCACATGCATGATTGTCTTCACATTTTTATCTTTTTGATTTTCATTTGAGTAATTTCTATGATAATGGTTTCTTAAATCATTAATGGATATACCCAACTCAATTGGCAGTATTGTCAATCTATTGTGCATGCATAACTGCCAAAATTTCCGTACTTGTTCAAAACTAATTAGTTGAAGATGAAAAGAACATTTTAGCAAAGCTCATGCCTACCACTTAGAAGTAAACCTGTTGAATATCCCAACTGTTTTAATATCCAAACTACAAGATGCATGATATGTAATGTTTTGCACTTTCACATTTCAGTAGTGTGCTTGGATCACTTTGTATGGTGATCCAAGTTCGAAATTCTTATGTACTTCAGCTTACAGTGCTAAACAACAATTAGTCTGAGAACTTTATGCATGGCTTGAGGGATATTAGCTTAGTTGGTAGAGCTCTGATTTTGCAAGTTATTGTCAAAGGTTGTAGAGCCAGACTTCTGTTGTAGGGAATTATCATGTCAGCATTACAACACAAATATTATATGCTATTAAATTAGGTGCACTTAACATTACACTCCAGATCCATAACAATTAACAAGTAGTAGTATAATTTGTTATCTGAGTTTATATTTCTAAAAGGGAGGGTGATCTAGGAGACACAATAAATAATTATCTGATGTTTTGTTAAATAGAGACATAAATTTCTATGTGGGACCTAAGACCTACTGAGAATGATAACATCATCTCATCCTTTTTCCTCATATCTATAAGAATGTCTAACACTTTTCCACCAAAACTTTTATCTTGACACAAGTTACTTATAAATGTTTTTTGTTGGTTATGTCTTGCTTTGTAACATTGTCTTGTCCTCTTATTTCTTTTCTTGGTTTCACAGATTTTGCAGCATATGAGATCCAGTGGAAAGGAAAATTCAATGCCATACCAAGTTATATCAAGGTAAGATCATCATCAACACCATATCTAGATATTTTAAATCCCACTTTTTATTCTTTCTGATGCTCTATTTTGATCTTCTGAAGGGCTATGGAGACAGTTATAAATCGACATGGTCTTGACATTGAGGCTTTAATGTCACAAAGACAACCGTTGACCAGTGGGAGTCAACCTGGAGATTCATCCTTATCCCAAATTGCAGGTTTGCATAGTAGTTAATTTTGTATTGTTTTAGCCTCTTCTATTTTTAGTTTTTATATTCTTGTACAATTTACAAGGATATAAATTAAATTGCAGGTCCTTCACAGCAAACTGCAGTGGAAACTGACTCCAAAAAACCTCTAACTACTGAAGACACAGCAAAAATTGCAACATTTTCAAGCAAACCATTACATGGTCCTAGCAGTGCTGGTCATGATATCTATCAAGGATCTGCAAATCAACTTAACTGTAAGTATTTGAATTTGAAGTTCTTCATGTAATCCTAAGTTTTGGTCAAATTTCTAGTGATTTTGTATGCTTAGAGTGTAGTATCTAAGTTTTTCTCTTCCTAATGGCTTCTGTTCCTATTGCTTTACATGGATTGAACCACACAAATAAGACTTAGAGTGTATAATTAGTGTAATATTAGCCATAACCATGTCACTTTGTACAGCTATGAAGAGTCATGGATCAAATGCTGGTCTCTCTGGTTCATATGAATCATCAGAACCTGGGAATCCACTATCCATGCAGTTCAGCAATTCGTATGATAACCAGACTGCTGCAATGTTGATGCATAAAACACCAGCTGGAAAGGCATTGGATCATGAAGGAGGATTTTCAAATGTGATGGCAAATGCAAGCAAGACACTTCCAGTATATGCTTTTTCTACCATTTTACCTCCTTAATGGAATCATATTTTTGTTCTGGTTGCTCTCATATAGTAAGACCTTGTAGATATTGTGTTCTCATGAGTCATTATCTTCTTTTGACAGGGTGGCATCTCAAACAATGTTGCTGAAATGGGTTTGCTTCGAAATGAAGCTTCAAGAGATACTGGAAAATTACCAGTTGTACAGGCTTCTCCAGCTGGACCTTCCATGCCTTTTAAGGAACATCATTTGAAACAGCTCAGAGCTCAATGTCTTGTATTTTTAGCCTTCAGGTTGCTCTAATGAACACTCTTAATCTTTTCATTGTTCAATATCTGATTGTTTATTCCTACTTAACCATTTTTGACATACAGGAATAACTTAATGCCTAAAAAGTTGCATCTTGAGATTGCACTGGGGAACTTCTTTTCCAAGGAAGGTAACTGCTTTTTTCCACATTTAACAAATTAATCTTTCACTATCTGAAAGACTATCATTCAGAAAACCATGTCTTGGCTGCTTTCTACAAACTTAAGATATGCAGGCATGCTATGATTCTCATGTGCCCTTTGATTTTTACAGTTTTTCAGTCCAAAATTGAAATATTTTTCAGTTTTGGTCCTTATTTCAAGGTTTCAGTGACCAAAGTCGATAGGAAGCCGTGAAATAAGGATCAAAGTTGAAAAGAAGGTTTCATTATTGGACTAAGCACGATAGAAATCAAAAAGAACATGGACTATTTTCATAATTTACTATGTTATATCTACTTCTTTACTCTGAGGTTAAGTTATGAGCTGCAATTGAAACATGTGCAAATAACAAGTGGTATTGCAGATGCATCTAGCAAAGAACACATTGACCAAAAGGGAAAAGACCAATCTTTTGGAGGCCAGAGCAGTGGATTCATTTCAGAAATGAAAGAAGGCGAAAAACTCGACAAGATGATAGATAAAAATGAGCCACCTTATGGTCTCCCTGAACATGTGGAGGGAATGAGAAATACCATGATTCCAAGAAAAATTGAGCCAGAAATGCCAGTCTTTGAAACAAAGGAACTACAGACATCTGCAATCAAAGTAGCACAATCAGACCCTATCAACATTCCACTACACGCTGATACCCAAGGAAATCGACATGGGCATAATAGTCATTTGCCAAGCTGGAAGCCTCATTCAGTAATGGAAGGTGAAAGGCACATGGTGATGGTGAAGAATGCTAATGTTCTTGAAAAGGATGTAATACTTGGTACTATTCTTTTCATAAAAGCTATAAAGATTCTACATTTTAAAGTTCTGTATTAAGAGACTTTGTTTATTGTAGCAGGAAACAATCGTGAGGGAGAAGATACTTCTGAACTAAGTACTTCACCAGCATCACCAAAGTATACTACATCTGAAAAATGGATTGCAGATTGCAAAAAGAGAAAAGTTGCTGCTGATAATAACTGGAAAGCTAAAAAGATGAAAACAGAGCAAAGGATCTCGGTTTGTGTTGAGAAGTTAAAGGTTTGCTAATATTTTAAGCTTTTCATTAATGTATCAGTTGTTGGCTAAATCTACTTGTATTTTTATGTTTCTAGGTTCATTTTTTTTGACAATTGTTATGCAGGAAACAGTTAGTTCTTCTGAAGACATTTCTGCAAAAACCAAAAGTGTCATCGAGTTAAAAAAGCTTGAACTTTTGAATCTCCAGCGTCGACTGAGGAAGTAATTTCTTTTCTTTAGCAATGTTATGAGTTGTTGTTATATTCTATCTTTAATGTTTTTAGTGATTTATATTAATTATATACTTGTTTTGTTGCAGTGATATACTGAATGATTTTTTTAGACCTATATCTAATGAGATGGATCGCTTGAAATCAATCAAGAAACATAGGATAGGAAGAAGATCAAAGCAACTCGAGAGGTATGAACAGAAGATGAAGGAAGAGAGACAAAAAAGAATTCGAGAAAGACAAAAGGATTTCTTTGGTGAACTGGAATCACACAAGTATGTATTTTGCTATAAAACATTCTGCTAACCAAACGCCCCTTAATCTTTTTCTCAACTTTTGTGAAGTTCTATAATGTGGTTCAATCACTGTTCTCTAGGGAAAGACTGGAAGATTTACATAAATATAGGAGAGAAAGGGCAAAGGGGTTTAACAAGTACGTAAGAGAGTTCCATAAAAGGAAAGAAAGACTTTATCGGGAGAAGATTGACAGAATCCAAAGGGAAAAGATCAATCTTTTAAAAATCAATGATGTGGAGGGTTATCTTCGAATGGTTAAGGTGAGCTCTGATTTTATTAATACAATTCAACAAAGATCCGAATTCAAAAAAAAAAAACTTAGAATTAAAATTGCTTTTATAGGATGCAAAATCGGATCGAGTGAAGCAACTATTGAAAGAGACTGAGAAGTATCTCCAGAAGCTTGGATCAAAGCTGAAAGAGGCAAAAGTTATCAGCAGAGCCTTTGAAGCAGATAATGGTCTAAATGATAACAGTGAATTTACTATTGAGAATGAAGACGAAACAGATCAGGCCAAGGTATGTTCTATCTTTTGTTACTTTACACTCTTATAACCTTTGTTTGCCTTTTAATATGTTATTAACAAAATATTTTTGGCTTCTACAGCATTACATGGAGAGCAATGAAAAGTACTATTTGATGGCTCATAGGTACTTCATTAACTTTTGTATTTCCTTTTTTTCCCTTTTGTAGCCCATCACTTTTTCTTGCATTAATGTAAAATAAGGCTAAATGCAAGAAATAGCTATGTTATTGCTCTTGGCTTTAATCAATTATTTTATTTTTTCAAACTCATCATCAGTTCCATGTTGCAGTGTCAAAGAACTTGTAGCAGAACAGCCAGCAACTCTCATTGGTGGAAAATTGCGAGAGTAAGTAATAAGTTGCAAAAACAATCAACAGATTTTATTTGAGAAACTGAATTTTTTTGTAATCATACTCTTTTTCTTTTATCTTATATTTATATAATATTGTTTGTCTTTAGGTATCAGATGAATGGATTACGATGGTTACTGTCACTATACAACAACCATTTGAATGGAATTCTAGCTGATGAAATGGGCCTGGGGAAAACTGTTCAGGTAGTATAAGGCTCCTTTAAAATCATTTTTTTTTTGTTTACATTTTACCCTTTTATGAGTAAGATTTGTTGTTTGTGTAGGTTATATCTTTACTGTGTTACCTAATGGAAAATAAAAATGATAGAGGGCCATTTTTGGTGGTTGTACCTTCCTCTGTTCTACCTGGATGGGAGTCAGAAATTAACTTTTGGGCTCCAACCATTAACAAAATTGTCTATTCTGGACATCCTGAGGAGCGAAGGAAGTTATTCAAGTATGAAATTTGAATTTTGTTTTTAAAAATTCTGTAAGTTCTTTAATATTACAGCTTTATTTGCATCACTGCAGGGAAAAGATAGTTCAGCAAAAGTTCAATGTTCTTTTGACAACCTACGAGTATCTCATGAACAAGCATGATAGGCCAAAACTGAGCAAGATACATTGGCATTATATTATAATTGATGAAGGGCATCGCATCAAAAATGCTTCTTGCAAGTTAAATGCTGAGTTGAAGCATTATAATAGCTCTCACAGATTGCTGTTGACTGGAACTCCTTTGCAGGTTTGAGTATGATTCTAGGCATCTTTTAGGGTTAAATGCAAGAAAAAGCAACCTGCTTTCACTGATTTCTATTACAACATTGTACTATGAAGAATTTACCAATTACAGCAGTGTAATCCAAGTAATTTTTACTGCTATAATTGGTAGATTTTTCAAAATAATGTCTAATAAGAAAAAAAATGCTGTAATCGAGTAGACTTTCAAAGTATAATGCCTTAACAAGAAATAAACAAAAGTACAACACTTTGTAACAGAAATAAATGAAAGTAGGAGTCTATAATACACAAAAAATGGAAGTACATTGCTATATCTTGTATCTATCCCTATAATTTATAAGCAGTTCACATAATTGAACAGTTCTTTGTATGAAATCTGTGTCACTTATCTAAATTTGCAGAACAATCTTGAGGAACTGTGGGCACTGCTTAACTTTCTGTTGCCAAATATTTTTAATTCGGCTGAGGATTTTTCTCAGTGGTTCAACAAACCTTTTGAAAGTAACGCAGATAACTCCCTTGAAGAAGTGAGCATTATATTATATTTAATCAATCTCTACACATTCTTGTTTAATTAATTCTTACTTAACACGAGGTTCTGCTTATTATACACAGGCTTTGCTCTCTGAGGAGGAGAATCTATTAATCATAAATCGTCTTCACCAAGTTCTCAGACCATTTGTTCTTAGGAGACTCAAACACAAGGTCTGTTTTATCCCTACAGAAACGATATTAAAGGATGTTAATGTTTTATTCTTTTTCCTGCAAATGATATATTTTTTTTAATTACTTTTGATTTGATAGGTTGAAAATGAGTTGCCTGAAAAGATAGAGAGACTTGTAAGATGCGAATCTTCTGCATATCAGAAGATATTGATGCAGAGAGTAGAAGACAATATGGGTGCATTTGGTGCTACCAAGGTTCATTTTTTGCAATAACTTTGTTTTAGGTGTCAGCTTTTGCTTTCTGGAGCATGATATTCATCCTCATTTCAAAGCACAAATTAAAATTTCAATTTCTTTCAAGACTTAATGAATAATACTTGAGTTTTGAAGCAAGAATACTATACAAAATGTATTGTTTGCATGAATTCACCAAGGCATTGGAAAATAAATTTTTTTAAATGACCAAAATAGTCTTTATTGTTTTTATAAACATGATCATTTACCAGTTTATGTTTATTTTATTTTATTTATGAAGCAAAATAAACAGATTTACTAGAAATAAAATACACAAATTTGTCATCGACACTAATCTGTTAACTTCCCATTCCAATTCCTTTGGATTCCTTCAGAACCCATGATCCAAACAGGCAAACAGGGCATAAATCATAATAAAATTCAGCTGCTTTCAGGTTGAAATTAGGTTTTTAAGGTATCTTTGCTCTAACTTTTTATCTTTCCACCAGAGTCGATCAGTGCACAATTCTGTTGTTGAGCTACGAAATATATGCAATCATCCTTACCTCAGCCAACTTCATACAGAACAGGTTGCTTTTCTCTTTCTTTCTTCTATTATCAATGCAAACTCATTGTGGAGTTGTTGATGCTGAATGTTGTTTTTGTTTCAATTTCAGGTCCATGATTTCATTCCCAAGCATTTTCTTCCTAATGTGATAAGATTTTGTGGGAAGCTTGAGATGTTAGATCGACTACTACCCAAACTAAAAGCTACAGATCATCGGGTATAATAATATCACTAATTTACCTTAATTTTCCCTTTGTAATTATCATTTTCTCTTTAGATGCTTATATTGGAAGTACAAAATGCAGGTTCTTCTGTTTTCAACAATGACTAGGCTGCTTGATGTGATGGAGGATTATTTATATTATAAACAGTACAAGTACCTTCGCCTTGATGGACATACAAGTGGTGGTGATCGTGGCTCCTTAATTGACCAGTTTAACAAACCTGGATCTCCATTTTTCATATTCCTTCTCAGGTAATCAACATTTTGTTGTATTCTATTTAAAAAAAAAAAATTCTATTTCTTATTCCATATATCCTTTTTTATTTCATAGTATACGTGCTGGAGGCGTTGGAGTGAATCTTCAAGCTGCTGATACAGTTATCATTTTCGACACCGATTGGAACCCACAGGCAATATATACTTAAAAAAAAACAATTATTCTAATTTAATAGTAATTTGTATTTTCTCTTATGCTTAATGGTTTTATGTTCATGTGTGTGGTTAGGTTGATCTGCAAGCACAGGCTAGAGCTCACAGAATTGGTCAGAAGAAGGAGGTGCTTGTTCTTCGGTTAGAAACGGTATGTTGACCTCACATTCACATCACTACTTGGGAATCTTTTAGGTTAACATGTCTGCTTTTAAAGTACATTTCAACTCATTAAAAATGTGTTGATCATGTAAGGTTAAATCTGTTGAAGAACAAGTTAGAGCTTCAGCTGAGCATAAACTTGGAGTTGCTAATCAGAGCATTACTGCTGGCTTCTTTGACAATAACACAAGGTAGTTTTTGTTACTTTTATCGAGTATACATGTAGTTATACACACACAATCACACACATGACCTGTACATGTTATTTATGTGGTTGATTGGATCATAGTGCTGAAGATCGAAGAGAATACTTGGAGGCCCTGCTGCGTGAATGTAAGAAAGAGGAAGCTGCTCCTGTTTTGAATGATGATGGTCTTAATGATCTTATAGCCAGGAGGTTAGCATATTACATTAATATTCTCAAGATTGACACCATAATATAAAACACAGTAAAATCAAACTAACCAAACTAATAACAGGATGAAAAACCGAACAGATCAATCACCTTTGCTGGAATATGTAAATTATCAACAAACCAGATAGAATATTAGCAGTAGCAATCCTCTCTTTTTTGTTTGTAATCATCATATTAGTAGATGTGAAACAGAAGGCAAATCTGTAGACCAATCTGAGGAATCAGACGAGGAAAATGATTGTGGAAACTCTATGATGAAGTTTGGTTATAGAGAAGAATAAAAGACCTAATTGTTTTTCTAAAATGAAATCATATATAGGCAAATATGAGCATCTATAAACTCTAATAGAGTAACTTTCATAAATACAATCAATACAATAAAGGAAACACTATCTTGATATTCTTCAATAATACAATAAATAATTACAACAAAGGAAACAAAATCTTCTTGATATTCTTCACATACCAAAATAGTTGATCAAAATATTGCCATGACATACCATAATTATTAAGAGAAAAAGGGATCAGAAACAAAGTGAGGAAGTGAATTATTTGATAGAACAAGATGCAAAAGGCTTATCCTAACTGAAATTCATAACATAACCTGCTAATTATATAATTTATGTGTATTCGTGATGTGGAAATGTGGTAAAAAATTAACCATTTACTTTGTTGAGCACTATGGTAAAAATCTTTTTGCATGCATTAACATAAGCATCCAAATGAAAACCGGTTCTTATTAAACCATTATGATTGACAACTTTTTGAAATGCCATTTATTGTATGTGTGGCCAACTGATGTTAGTTAAATTTAAATAGTCGAGTAACTTTGATTTTCAGAAATTTCAATCTTAAATATGCTGTGGTATTTATTCATACTTGTAATTTTGATGATGGCAGTGAGTCTGAAATTGACGTATTTGAGGAACTCGATAAAAAAAGGCAGGAAGAAGAGATGGTATACCCTTTTTACATTGAATGCTCTTCAATCTATTTTCCTTCAACCTAGAAAAAGGCATCCTGCATTTGTCTGTTCAGTTTGATTAATAATAATATGTAAAATTGTGCAGGCTCTGTGGAAACAGGTGGTATCAGAACAAGGGGGGACAAGTGATGAAGTCACACCTCCCCTTCCTTCAAGACTTGTAACAGAAGATGAAATGAAATCATTCTGTGAAGCTATGAAGGCAATTGAAGTTCCAAAACCAGTTGTTATACCTGGCTATGGAGGTAAAAGGAAGAGTGAGCTTGGGAACTTGGACACACATAATTATGGAAGAGGAAAACGAGCAAGGGAGGTTTGTTCTCCTCAACTTATATATATATATTTTGATGCATTTTGTTGTTTGAATCCCTGTTATAATTTTTTGTTGCTACTTTACCTAGGTGCGTTCTTATGAGGAGCAATGGACAGAAGATGAATTTGAGAAAATGTGTCAAGTTGAAGCACCAGAGTCACCAAACACCACCAAGGAAGAAGGGGAGTTGGCTGGTGGTGTCAGTGTCACAACTAGTGAATCTGGCATGGTTATTGGTGCAGAAGGCACAGGGTTGCCAAACATACAACACCCAATGCAACCTCCTCCACCTGCAGCTTTTTCAGTTCAACAAATCGGGGCAAGTCCACCGATGAAACGTGGTCGTGGAAGGCCGCCTAAAAAGAAACTCCCTGGAATTGGAGTTCCACCTCCAATGGCGGCTCTTCAGGTTTCTCCGTTACCTGTTCCTCCACCTCTTCATCCGATTGGTTTACAGATTGCTGCTCCTCCTCCTCCTAGTGTTGCTACCCCTTCTGTTCCCAAGTCAACCCCCTCTGATGGTGGTCAGCCAACTGTTACTTTGCCTTCTGCTGCCCTGTCTGTGCCACCTGGTTTTCAGCCACCAGCCGGTCATCCTCCTGGCTTTCAGCCAACAGTCGCACCTCCTCCTGGTTATAAACCACTCACCTCCCCCCCTCCGGGCTATCAGCCAATCACCACCACCCCTCCTGGTTATCAACCAATAGCCACACCTACACCCACAGCCACTCCTCCACCCCCCGGATTCCAACCTAAAATCAGTCCACCTCCTCAGGCCACCACCATCACTCCTTTATCTACCTCTACCCTCCCTCCTAGTTCTCAACCAACAACCACCATGACTCCTCCCAACCAGAATATCCCACCGAGTAATCCCACTCCTAGCACTCTTTCAACCCCTACATTACCCGTTTCAATCCCAGTGTTCTCTCCATCCTCTCATGACTCAGAGTCTGCTGTATCTCCATCAGTGACACCTGGGGAGTGGTAGGGGTAGGGGTAGAGGTAGGGGTCGGGGTCGGGGTAGACCACGAGGGTAGAGGTAGAGGCCGTGGTCAAATAATTGGAAGTAGTGGAGTTGATGAGGCTGAGGCTGAGCCACAGCCACAGCCACAGCCACAGCCACAGCCACAACATACAGTTACAAAGCAACATCATGTGGTATTAGCTATGCCAGGTCTTCGGACATCTTCTCTAATCAACATGTCAGAAACACTTCCCTCCACCACCAATGAGCCTCCAGTTTCCACCTCAACTGCTGTTAGTAACACTCCAGCAGCAGCTCCAGGGACTGTTAGTATACCTGCTGTAACAGTAACACCACCCCCTTCTGAAACTTCTAAATCTGATATACCAATACCAGAACCATCTCTCCCTGTTGAATCTCTACCTACATCTTCTACTTTGCCGGAAGTCAGTCAGGCTGTGCCGGATACTGATGTGGGGGCTACACCACCACCACCGCCAGTTTCTGTTGATTCTCAGGTCACCGAGCTTCAAACTACGAGTGCTCAGGCAGCCGCTCCAGTTACCACTGAGCCTGAAACAGCCACCCCAGTTGCCACCGGGGTTGAAGAATTGAGTTCTCCAGCATCCATCACGACACCACCACCGCCACCGGTGTCTGTTGTTGCTCAGGCCACTGAGCTTGGAACTTTGAGTTCTCCGGCAGCCACCTTAGTTGGTACTCCGGAACCCACCACACTTGTCACCGCCCCAGTTGGTACTCTGGCAGTCACCCCACTTGTCACCACTCCAGTTAGTACTCCGGCAGCCGCCCCACTTGTTGGTACTCCGGCGGCCACCCCACTTGTCACCACCTCAGTTGGTACTCCGGCAGCCACTCCACTTGTCACCACTCCAGTTGGTATTCCATCAGCCACCCCAGTTAGTACTCCGGCAGTCACTCCACTTGTTGATACTCCGGTAGCCGCCCCAGCTAGTACTCTGGAAGCCACCTCACTTGTCACCACCTCAGTTGGTACTCCGGCGGCCACTCCAGTTGGTATTCCATCAGCCACCCCAGTTAGTACTCCGGCAGCCACTCCACTTGTTGCTACTCCGGTAGCCACCCCAGCTAGTACTCCGGCAGCCACCCCACTTGTTGATACTCCGGCAGCCACCCCACTTGTTGATACTCCGGTAGCTACCCCAATTGAATCTCCTTCTGAATCTGCACCGAAACAAGGGAGAGGAAGAGGAAGGAAGGTTCAAAGTAGACCGGAGGCACCGCGTCGCAGGGAAAGGAGGAAACTGGACACAGTAGAAGCTCAGGAGCAAAAACCTAATGAACCACCACAGAAAAGGACACGAGCCTCTTCTAGTAGAAAAACTGTTGCTACAAGAAGTATGTTAAGAAATGAAGCTCAGAAGATGATGGACATGGATGATGATGATCAGTCCACCCAAGCTGCTTCTAAGTTAGCTGAAACACCACTCAAAGATTCCCCAGATGTGAAACAACAGTCAAGCAATGTAGCTGATACCATAAATCTCCATGGGGAGAAGATCGAGAAACAAAAAGACGTTTCAGAGGCAACTGAATCACAATCAATGACTGATGATGCTGTTGAAAATACCAAGTCCAAGGAAGATTCGGATTCCAAAAAACTAATGGAGGTAATCTCTCTCTCTCTCTCTCTCTCTCTCTCTCTCATGCCATTTTTGGGTCTAACAACTGTTATGTGTTTTAAGGTTGCTCTCACTTGTGTAGCTAATATCATTAACGATTCGTGCAGGTTGAAAGTGAGTCAAAATCAGAGACTCAGTCTAAACCCTCTGAAGAAGTTGAAATTAATCAGCCTCAAAAAGATGAGGGCTTGAAGGCAGAAACAGAGTGCAGTGCTTCAGAAGATGGTGGCAAGGTTAATAGAATGCATTTAATAATACATACATATATATATATATATATATATATATATATATATATATATATATATATATATATATATATATATATGTAATAGTAATATCTATCTGGTCTTAGTGGTTTGATGATTTATGGATTTACAGAATGAAGAGAAAGATCCTGTAATCAAGGATGGAGACACCCTGACTCTGGAGGCTAATCCTCCTGCTGTTGAAGAAAGTGTTACTGATTCTGTGCAGAAGTCACCATCTCTTGATATGCAGATTCAAACTGAGGCCACGTCATCTAAAGATGTGGAGGATACCAACAAGACATCACCACAGGTTCATTTATTTAGTTTTTAAGGCTCATCATGTACAGAAATTCCCAAAAGGATTATGTTTAAATCATACCTATAATCTGTTCTTTCAGGGTAAAGGGGATGATGACATTGAAATTGAAAGAAATAATAATGATACAGATGTTAAACCCACTGAAAAGGTTGATGATGCTTCCCAGAAAGAAAGTGAATCCGGTGTGATTAAGGAGGATGTGTCTGAAGCTGAAGCACTTCCTGTCATTACAGTAAGCCAAAATTTCCTTGTTGAGTTTCTCAGTTTATGTTTCATGTTTAAAAAAAATGAAAGAATTCAATGTGTTTTAATTGGGTTTCTTCTACGTATGTGTATTGTGTAGGAGGGGGATAAAGAAGAAGAGCAAGAGAAATCTTGTGAAAAGATGGAGGATGAACAACTTCCTCCCATGGTGGTGGAAACGGAAGCCAAACCTTGTGAAGATGATGACAATGATAACAAGAAGCAGGAGGAAGATGATGCTCAAATTGAAACACCAAATGAATCAGAGAAAGAGAAAGAGAAACAAGAAGAAGGTTCCACTGAAAATGGTCTGAATAAATTGGGGACAACACAGGAAGCAGATGAACAAAATGATCCAACTATTAAAACACAACAAGAACAAGACCAAAATGATGACTAGTAGACTAAGGCTAAACTATTATTATTGTTATTATTATTATTCTATGAACAAAAAGATCAAAGTGTTTGTTAGGTGTGTGTAATTATAATTATAGCTGTTTAGCTTTGCTTGTATTATTGTACCAGTCTCATTTTGGCATATGATTTTATCAAGGTTAAATATTTATATCAACATGATAATTAATATCCAACACGTCATAAATTAGTTTTCTATTTACGTAATTGGATCCTTTATTTCGTTATAACTTATAAATTTATAATACAAATTCTTAATCATCAGTTTCTCAAATGAACCCTTTGCTAAGGTGTTACGGATCCTTTGTTGATCATCAAAATATGGGACATGTATGTGAAACGTAATTTCTATTTGTATTTGTAAAATATTTCTAAACCTTTTCCTCTCTTCATCATGATAGGGTATGAAGATTTAGTTAGCATTGAAAACAAATGCCAACCTTATCCATATGTGAATGATCAATAAGCTGCATTTCGCCCTCACTTTACCCCTTTCTGTTGAAATAAGAAAATGTGGTCGCTATCTCTACAACAAAAATCGACAATGCTTAAGGTTTATTCCCCTTTAAAGATAGATCCCTCCGACATTAGGATCCTAACAATAGCCAAAGTTAAAGGGTCAAAGAATACTAAGAAACAATGCAATTTAGGATCCATTATTGCCAATTGCCATGCAGCAAAATTTTCATATTAATACACCAAAGCTTTTAATTTTTTTTTTTTTTTTTTTTTTTTTTTTTTTTTTTTTTTTTTTTTTTTTTTATGTTTTTAAACTAAAAACATTACAAAATACAAACCAACTGTCTGTGACACCCATGTGTCGACTATCACAATTTTCAAAAACTTTCCTTTCTGCATCGCCTATGGATGTAACGTCTTCATGTTGCATCCCAAACAATAATACAATTTGATTGTCAGTTGAAAGTATAAATATGTTATTTTATAGAAACAAAACAGAAAAAGTCAGTAAGTGTCTGAATTAAAGCTGTGAAAGTAAAATAATCACGATTACCATTTTGTTCAACTGATGCATATGCATTTGGTGAAGTTGGGCTTCTAATACTTGATTAACAGGGAATCAAGAAATTCTAATAGTCCCAAGCTTTGTTGGCCAATGTGTCCCATGAGTAATTCGTGCTTGAAGTTGTAAATGTCGATTAGTATTCGAACCAACAACTTCATGCACAACTTAATCATAAAGACACATTGGCCTCCATAGCCTGGGTCTATAAGAATATCTTGATACCTTGTCAATAAAGTATAAAAAAATAACACTTCACCACATCAAGGTTTGCCTCTCCAAATTGCTCTTCTTGAAGGCTCAACATTCAAACTTGCAATAGTGGAAACAATTATAAGAGAAAAACTAAGGAAATATCGTGATTTTAAGACCATTTTAAGAGAAACAAATTTTGTTTGATGGTCTCCATAGATGAAGATGAATGAAATGAAGTATATATATAGAGAGAGTAGAAGCAACGAACTTTTCCACAATTGTTGTCATTATCAAACTAAATGATTAAAAAATAAACCTTCTATCTTTCTTCCCTGCCACTTAACCAAGTTTTTTCTATAAAACATTCAATATTGTAAAGGAAATTTCGTAGAAAACAATGGTAAATTGAACCTAAGATTGGTTTGGTTCGATTTTATACTATATTGTTATACCAATTTGTGTTAGGAAACTATTATATGGAAATGGTTCACCATGAGTGGAACCAACTACCAAACAACACCAACTACAGTTGACATTTTGATGCAACCTATTTGTCTCACATTTGTTTATACCTTGTCCAAAAGTTTGATTTTTAAAATAAATAGATGAGGCAACGAACTCTATATTTCTAACTATTAAATGTAAAACATATTATAATATTATCGAAATAAACATGTTGCATTCTGTAATATTCGATTTCAAAATAAAAAACCATTAAACTTTTGATAGATAAACAACTATTACCACTAAGATATGAATTAACGCAAGTTTTAAAGCTTTCAAGCAACATAAATGTTATTAATGTATTTTTTTCATATATATATATATATATATATATATATATATATATATATATATATATATATATATATATATATATATATATATATATATATATATATACTAGCCGTTACCCGCGCACAGCTGCGGGGACAAATAGCTTCTTTCAACGATATTTTTTTAAGAAAAATGTTATGTTCCAAAAGAAAGTTCATGTCGTGGGTGAGAGGAATGACGGTAGTCGTGATAGTGGTTAGTTGAAAGCGAAAGGAGGCAGAGTGGCTGTGGTGGTGGTTATACTATCTTGGTTACTGGTTAGGTTCTTCGAGAGAGTGTGCGTATATTTCTTACTTTGAAGGGATTACGAAGATAGATATTATGAGATGACTTGTTACCAATGTGAGAGAAGAGATCTTCTATAAATTGTTGACATTGACCGCTTCAAATGGCTGAAGTGTTGAGATTGACGGGTTCAATTTGCAAATGAATTCTTCTATTAATTTGATACGAGATTTTTAGGGGATAAAGGATAGGATTAAAGTTTTAATATTATTATATTATAAATAGGTTGTACTTCAAGCTTAATAGTTTGGACGTCTTAAAAAAATAATATTATTATATTTAATCTATTTATAGAAATAGTTAGATTTCTTTTATAAGTAGTAAAGATATATATATATATATATATATATATATATATATATATATATATATATATATATATTCAAGTTCATTTGAGACCATGTTAATTTTGTGAAACAGTGAGATCAAATCTAAAAATAATTTTAAAATGCAAAATAAAAGGAAAAAATCCAAAAATTCTTTTTTTAATTATTGTTTTTGGAACTTTATTTAACTAAAAAAAAATTACGGTTTTTTTGTGTGTACATATTCTAATATGTGTTGAGAGAAAAACTTGAGACACACTTGAATAAACGTTAGAACAAGTATAGTTGCGGAATTAGTTAATCTCAAAGGATCTAAAAGCTCAACAATAATAAGTTAACGAGTTAGATAGTTAGATAATTAGTTGCGGAAATGTAAGAAAGTATAAATGACAGCAGGTGATATATCAAGTAAACACATAAGTTGATTCATAACATGGAATGCATTCAAACCAAGTTAGTGAGTGTGATCAAGCTTAGTGATAAAGTCACTAATGACTTGCTCCGAAGAGAAGTAATTAGCAGTTAGGTTCGAGAGGATTTAGAGAGTAAGAAAGATATAAGATGCGTAAGAGAAATGTAATTGATATACTTGAAGATAGTTCAGATTGATAGATGTTTTTTATTTCATGGAAAAAGTGAGCTCTATATATAGAGTCTCAAGAATTACATTTTATCCACTCTCTAAGAGTAGCCATGCAAGGCATGCTGGACAATAGAGAGTATTACAGAAAGGATAGATAAAATTAAACTAAGTAAAGTAAGTAAGACTGCGGTTGGATAGATGACTTCAGATGAGGCTGCTGATGAGACCTTGACTGCGGATCCTTGTGGGTTGCGGTAGACTAAGTTAAGAGGGTCACTTTATGCTTCAACAATTCCCCCCTAAGTGATCTCTTTAACTTTTTCTTCACTTATCAAGTGTAAGGAACTTGATTAGAATCCACCAAAAGTTCCTGATATTTTCCAACCAGGTAATCCTTCTTAAAATCTCGAACCTGACTTCGGCAGTCGTGTGTTTTGATTTTTCTACTGCGGTTCGACAGATTTCAAGCTGCTTCCTTGTAAGACGATTCACGAAGATCATGGGAATGAAGTATTTGACCTGATCGATCTTCCTTTTTGAAGATGACTCCAAGTTCAGGGAAGTTTGTTGCACCTAGGGATCTTTCTTGATAACCTTCAGTAGGCATTGGTGCAGGATCTAGTGGTGGTAGATCGAACTTCTTGGCAAGGGTTGGGTGGATGTCCGCATTAATCTTTGTGAAGTCGCAGACGGTTTCCTTCAGAAAATGCTTGCCTTTTCAAATGCTATCTTCATTTTAGGATACTTTTCACACTTGTTTTGGAACACCTTTGCTATAAGAAAGACTTCTTCTGGGTTCATACAGGGGAAATCAGCGTGGTGCGGAAGTAGTCCTGATTCCTTCTTGTGAGTGTATTGGATGAAGTCAACTTTCATGAATTTGCGGGGCTTGAAGTTCTTGACTGCGGATGGTCTGTCATTAGACTAGATTTTCTCTATGGAAGAGGCATGTTTGGCATATAATCGATTGAGTCTTTTGAATTTCATGGGTAGTCTTTTGTGATCTGGTAGGCTCTGGTCAAACTACTCAAATACTGTGAAGTATTTAACATTTGGGGATATTGGAACATCCCAGTAGCCATCAGGAGGGGGTTTAACATAAGTGAGATATGGTTTGTAGTCATCGTCCAACAGTCTGCGGTGGGGATTGATCCAAGAGTTTGTCAAGGATTCATCTATGACAGTGTCGAAACCGCATTCTCTCCATATGAGCTCAGCAAATTTAGCTACTTTCCAGTCAGCTTTCTTCTATTTGGTGACGGGAGAGTCATTTGAGTTTGGAGATGACATGTGATCCGCTAGATTCTTGAAGTGAGGGGGAGTCTTAGGTCGTTCAGGAGAGGGAATGATTTTTTGTTGCGGTGGGGGAGACTGATTGCTTGGACTCTTGTGAGGAGATGGTTTCGGTAACGGTTGCGGTGAAGGAATTTTATGAGAAGCACTTTTGGATTGATGATCTTCTTCATAGTGTTCTTCTTCATGATGGTGTCCTTCACTTCCCCCTCTTGAGGAGTTCAAACCCATAGACTTCTCAAGCCATTGTTTGAGACCATCGACCTTGGCACACACCTCCTTAAATTGAGCTTTAAGAACATCAACCAGTTGCTGATTGTTTGGGATGGCAGTGTTGAAGAGAAGCCGATGAATCTCCTTTGTGAGTAGTTAAAAAGATATTATAATGACACTTATATAATAATAGCTCAAATATTTATTAAAAGTTCATAATAACAATACTAATTTTAAAGATAAACTATATTAAAATAGGTAAGCATAACTTACTTACAAGGGGGTTTTAGCTAGGAGTTGGGATCTGCAGGGGCAGAACTTTGTCGCTGAATCTTTCTAAGAAAGATTTGTGCAGCGCTTCAACGCTCACCTTACTATACAAAAACTACAGAAAGAGAAGCCGAATCATAAGGGACCGAAATGCTCGGG